TTCATCGGTTGAGCCAGAGTATTCCCCTCTTCTCACAGCTCCTCATGGTTGTCTGCTGCATGATCCAGTCGACCACAATCAGGAATATCATGGTTGATAGTAGACAGCCTTTTCTTACTCCTGTCTTCACTTCGAAAGCATCACTTAGCTTCTTATTGTGGACCACTTGGCATGTGGCGTCATCATATAATTGTTGAATGAATGTGAATACATGCATTTTATTATTCGAGTTATTCGTGAAAATCTGCTAAACTCATCAGGTGGTTATCTTCCTAAATCAACTGGAATGTTCCAGTTATCCTTTAAAATAATACTGAATAGCTATTATATATTAGCCAATTAAGCATTGGCTTATGATAAACACCTGTTTGTCTGAAAAATTCATTATCTTTCAGTGTATAAAAACTATTGGTGAATATTTTCAGAGGAGGAATTGTAGACAGTCGAGTTATTACGGTCATTGTTGATGGTGATACTGGTGAAAAACAATTCCAAATAAATTTCACTTGTGTGATACATGATATCTCCGAAGTTTAAAATAGTGATAACTAATGCACCGTAAGCCAATTATCATTTTACTTAAATAACTAGTGATTAATCGTTTAGTTCTGGTGAAAAAGTATTCAAGACTCAATCTTAGCATAGAATATTGAACATTGATCAAGAAGACTGAACAAACTCGGGAAATTACAAATATAATTACAACAAATGATATCTGTTTCACAAGGGATGGTTATCGTGCCTAAGTGGCTTAGTGGGTAACGCTCTAGCGTTTACATTGGAGGTTACTGGATTTGAGCTTCTCAGAGAGAACAACATCACTCACTGGGGTGCAGGTCCATTCGGCTGACGAGTCTCAAATAGGACGAAACGTATAACTGAATGTTTTCTTATCTTTATTGCGTTAAATAATACTAGTGTTAGACATTTCATACCTGCAGATATATGTAGCTGGTATCATGTTCACATTCTTTGACTTGTTTCTTTCAAAATCAGACAGTTTGATACCTAATGATTCATACTTCAACTTGATAAACTTCTCGTAGACAGCCTACATTTACGCTGCAATAACGATATCTAATTAATTATTTACTGGAAGGATCAGTCTTGTGAGTGAATGAAGGTTAGGTGAGGATTCTGACATGTTGAATAGCGATTTGAGAGTGTTTGAGTTAAGTTTATTACCACTCAGACTTAAATTGTCACTCCAATGACTAATTTGTGTTGCTGCATCGTTTTACAATGAGGAGTAAATAGATTAGGTACTATCTCAATTTAAATTGATCAAAATGGTTTACTCAGCTTTCACCCCATGATACTCAGGTACACAGTTGGAGGCCGAGTATACTGTGCTGCTAGGGCTCTAATCCATGACACTGAGTGATGGTCACGCGACATCATGAACTGACAGCAATCATACATATGGACCATTGGATTTCGACCCACTGGTTAAATGGTAACGTGTTGACCATGGAACCTTAAGGTTCTGGGTTAGATCCTTAGGGGTGTGGGGTCATGGATTCGCACTACTTAGGAGTCCCATCCTGGGACATCCTGAAACAGCTGTTCAGTGCTCTCAGGTTTCCAATGTCCTACAGCTGATGTCAGTCGATGATGAATACCAACTTGAAAAATCACTAAATCTCTACAAATCCATAGTGACTGAAGTGAATTAATCCTACTGTAGAATGATAAGAGTTATTACAATGACATTTTGAATGTTCATTTGCCAGCAGTGGAATTTAAGATGTGCGTTTTGTTCATTCTGGGACACGTCAGCCGGATATACCTGCATCTCAGTGAGTAGATGTATTCTCACTGGGAGCCAAACCAGTTACCCTTCACTTCAAAAGCCAGACTAGCATCTCCCAATGAAGTGACTGACGGAATAATACGAAATACAAGGATGCTACTAATGCAATGAAACACTTACGAATTGTGACTGTTCTCCCTTAGATATGATACTTCATTCAGCCGCGAAAATTAGAAGACATAAAAACGCCTTTGAGCGTAAGGAAGACGCTTTATTTGGCAAAAAACACATAATTCATTTACAATTTTTCCTCAGAAAATCAAGCCACAAGATCAGAAGTTGGATACTTATTCCGATTGGTCAAGTGTAGGACAAAATTGTCCAATAGGGTTTTTCCTGACTGTACTGTACTTCCTTTGCGGCTTATGACCCAGCATAGTTCTGCTGAAATATAGTTGGTACATGAGATAAGATACAATTGTGAAACTGGCTGTGATAGTCACCCAATGCTTTTTTATTGTTTACAAGTGAACGTCATGTTTTTATATTTAGATTACTCAAAAGTGGTTCAGATTTAGACATATCTGCCATGAGTGCTGCTTGGATAGTCGACTTCATGCATCACTGTATCTGGCTGTTTTATACCATACCAAGCCTGTCCAAATATCGTGGTCAAGTCAAAATTGCTGTTTCTTTTCCTCTGATATTTAACGACCTAATACGTGGTGCACAGTAAACAATTCTAAGATGTTACACTTACACTGGAGGGGAAGAAAACAATATACAATTGAATGTTGATTTCATTATTATGAAAAGCTTCGGGGGAATTTATTTACGCTGTTATTATTAAACTATTGGAAATACTTTCATTGAATTGATGGCTCTGTTTAGATGATGACTTGTAGAAGTGGAGAGGTGATCTGAATCTACTGTCTTTATCAAGGGGACGCTAAACGTTAGCCTGTAAGTCAACAGGTGTACAGCGAATCGAAGCTATCCACAGTGACAAAAATACCAGTAATGAAAAGCTTAATACATTTTATAATTCTTTTTTATTCTTACTGGACCTTGGTGATACTTTTGTCTGTAAAGTGTATTTCATTGAAGAAGATACCGAAAGTTTCCATCAGGTGACAGTATGACTCTGCGATATTTCTGTTATTAAGACATGCATACACTGAAGTGAGAAAAAAACTTTTCAATGCTTCTTCAAATGGCGGTTAGGATTTCTCATTAGTAAAACATATTATGCAGCTAACCTTATCATTGTTAGTAAAAAGTAACGCATACTTCATAACAGGTCTAAGTCCTACTTAAATGATTAAATCTCATACCTCATTATTTCACTAATAAAGAAGTGAAACCTGGCCACTATGACAGAATGTGTAACCATTATAGTTAATTTACTAAATGTATCGCACAGTGGGACAATTCTATCTACTGGATTATCTATTGGATACAATTTATTGTCCATGATCATATCGTAATAGTCCAATAAGTATGGGACCGTTCATACAGTTCCAATTTTCTCAAGTAGCAGGGCTTTCTGGTGTTGAGTTATTGCTGCTGCATAAATAAGGTGTTGATTCAAGAAACAGAGATTCAGCAGTCAACCTCCCACTCCATCTTACTAGGTTACAATCAATAAGATACATCCTAAGGATCCTCTATAAAGCTGGGATTTGAGTCGCATATAAACACGTCAAGTCAATTAGAAATACGCTTTGTAAGTAAGAAGTTGTTATTGATCCAATTACGGAGGATAATTCATTATTATTATTTTTCCTTCGGGTTCCTAATGGAAAATAAGGCTTCACTAGCACATCAACATTTCACTCTACTCTCGGCACTCTCATGAACCTGCATCCACACCTCCCCAAAAACTTACATATCTTCCTCACAACATCTCCTCCATGTCACACTAACACGCAAAACCCCTTTCTCTCCCATACGGATTCCACTCGACTACCTGGTCTACCATGGCATGACATGGCATCGCCTCGCCTCGCCTCGCCTGGTGCGTGATATCCACAAACCATCCTCATACAATCCATCTACACTTCCTTCTACATATTTGTTGGACGATGGATTCTTCACTCGTTCGTTCGTTCGTTGCCAGCCAGCCAGCCAGACAGCCAGCAAGCCAGAGTTCCTCCTTCCTCGCCCATTCGTATTATTCTCAACATTCATCTCATCTTCACTGTCACTATCCAGTCAGCATCGGTGTTACCTGCTCATGTGATGAATGTGTGTAGTTTGTTGGAAATGCTTTTCATGACACACCAACTCTGTCAACCATCACATGGAAGCACTGATTTACTTGACTGAATGAGTGTTGAGAGTCTGGATGTTGTTGACACATTGTGCTGAGTTGAGTGGAGTGCAGTAGATCGTCACACTGATTTCAGGTTAATCAAGGCCAGTCTTGCAATCTTTCCGATGCTGTCTTTGACATCGTCATCTGTGTTGTCGCCTGTATTTGAAACGATGTTGCTTTGCCTAGGTAGATGAAAGAGACAACTTGCTCCACATTTCCCCATTGATGGTGGTTGTTGCTTGTTATTGTTGGTTGGTTTGATTGGTATCTTCATCATCTGTGTCTTGTCTTCGTTGACATGAAGGAGGTCAGGTGTTGATTGCCTGGTGTTTTCTGTTAACTTGTTGGTTTAGGCGTGTATATCTTCGAGTTTGTGTGAAATAAGACATTAGACATAAATCATCATCGGCCAAATCCAGCCTCAAGGGGAATAATTATTTTAGGAAATCTCTTGCAACGGTTGCGAGGTCAAATACATAGATCAAAGTGGTCGACCAGGGTCTTTTAGTCTATCTGGGCATAAAAAACCTACATAGATCAAAATTTGTGGATCCCAGTTGTTGTTTCTGATCGTAGTATGTTAGGGAATTTAGAGGAAAGCTCGACCATGGTTTCGCTTGCATTAAGTTAAATAAGACTGTTCTTCTGTGTGTACACTTTGTAAATGAATCAAGATGGAGTGATATTCCATTGTGTTTACCAGTTTATGTGTGTGTGTGTGTGTGTATGTGGTCACATTGAGTCACTAAGTTGGAGTCCATTGGTGGTGGGTGTACTCCTCTGAGAAGTCTTATGCTAAGAAGAAACAGCTATCCAATACTCTCAGATTTTCATAAGTTCTTTAACTAATGTTAACCTATAATGAAAACCAACTTGAAATCAATAATTAAATCCCCATAAAGCTCTAAATTATAATGTGTACAACATAATGACTATTACCGATCTATATTGATTAACTTTTTTGGCATCGTATCACGTAGATATGGGTAAAAATTGTACTCAGTATAATCTTTATGCATTATCAATATGATACTTTATGAAAGATGCCTTTTTATTATAAATATAAAATTGGAGTCAATAAAAGAATAGGAGAGATGAATATAATGGAAGAAAAGTAGACAAATAAGAGAAAAGGCATGAAGAAAGGTGAAGGTAGCATTCAAAAACAGAGAATAGAAAAAAAAATCTAAATCGAAAAGAAATGAGCACATACATCATCCCATCGATATATTAACAGAAATGAAGTAAACACTTTCCAATGAAATATACAGTGATGATGATGATGATGCTGATGATGATCACCTTTCATTCCATATTGTCGAGAGTATTTAGCCAGATAAGCAATAATGAAGGAATATCTACAACTCATGTACTTAAGGATTATTATGTTGTCACTGATCGAAGGTTGGGTGAATAGGGGGCACGGGAGACAGAGTAACAAGAAGAAGGGAACGATGCTTTGAAAATGTGTGTGTGAATGATCAAGTGTATGTTTATTTATTGAAACTGAATGATGAAATGAAAATGTTCAGTAGAAAGACGAAGAAGAAAGTACACCGTATCGTTTAATCACATACAATCCTCTTGTCTATTTAACCTCTTTCTTTTATTATACACAAGTATACTTACACATTTAATAGGCTATCGAATGTAAAATATAATTGAAAAATACATTTTAGATGGATTATGTTTCAGTTTTTCTTTTTCTACAGTTGAAAGAATAATTGAATTAGTGTACCGGAGAAAAAGTGATGAGCAGTAACACAGTGGAATAGGTAAGCCATAATAAATACGAGTACAAGATGAATTCAAAGTTCAATACAATTTTTCCTCTTTTTTTTCACTCATTATACTGATCAAGAAGGATAGTCAGATGAAGCAATTGACCAAATTGAACTATTCCTTTATCTTCACCATCATCATTTACACTGTGAAGTAATAACATTATTATAAACGATACATATACATAATAGTTGATAGTAGTGTATATGTTGTAGTCAGCTAATAAATCAATAAATAAATGAACCAATGACTCAAAACATTCATGAATACATCTCATCAAACTAATGAATCAGTTACCTAAATTCGTATTCCATATGTGTCTTAAGTGAACAATACAGTTTTCTTCTAACCGTCTTATACAAATGAATATATCATTGAGTCATTGTGTGTGTGTGTGTGTGTGTGCATCATTTGAATTGGCTGAGAAATAAAAATTAAAAAAAACTATTTTTTACGAAAATATTTGCTGACAATAATGAACTAGAGGTAGAAGATATAGAAGTAGGAGAGAAAAACTAATGCCAAAACATTGTAGAAGAAAAGCAAAGATGATCAAGGTCAAATGTATGACCTTAAAAAAATGGAATTGATTCATTTAAACAAAAAGGCTACAAAAAAAAAGAAGAGGGGGATAAAGCAAGAGAAATCAGATATACTTCTAAATCTAGTTGATAATCAAATGACAAGCAAGTAGATTTTTCTTTCTTGTGAATAATTTTAATAAATGAAAGACATTGATCATTGATTGATCACTGGTTAATTTATAATGAACAAAAAAGAGGAAAAAGAAATTATCATCGATAAAATGATACAGATCCACTCTGACGACGATTATATCGCCCAGCTGGTAAATTTAAATTGTCTACTTGACTTGACTGCCTAAAAATGAGATTAGTATGACTTCTCAGACGATCGAAATAATGACTGGTATTATTATTATTATTATTATTATTACTATTACCAATACTGTTAAGTGAATTGATTTGAGATTTACGTTTATTTAGAAAGTAAGTACTACCACTACGCGTTCCGATAGCACCGATTCCAACAGTTGAATTATTCACATTATTCTCCATATTAGTTGTTATTGATGGACCAGAAATGCTATATCCACCACCAACTCCACCACCACCGGTACCAACTCCACTTGCATTTGAAGTTGCTACACCATATTCTAAAGCATATTTCTGTGATCTTAAACGTGCATTTATACCACGACATCGGCATAAAAGTATTTCCCGAAATGGTAGTCGAAAATCACGATTGAATATCACATAGATAACTGGATTGATAGTTGAATTGATATAACCTAAAAGTAAACCAGAAACAAAATTGATTAAAAATTTTAATAATTTTTTTAACTTCACCTATTATATACGAATACTAAGTGATGATTGGAGATGGAATGGTAATCTGGGCTTCCGTAGGACTCGGATCAATAAACTTTGAGTTACTCTTCTGACTGTGTTACCCTGCTTCTCACCAGATCTTAATTTTACTACAGCCACCAAGGGTTTTATGTTACTGCCATGTGAATGAGAGGATACGTTACTACTATCTCTTGATTGTATTCACACTATATGGCCAGTCAAATCTTCCCGTCCTAATACGGATACTAAGAATGACGTGAAATTAACATCAACCAAGCACTCGAGTCTCGTAGTTCACTTGGTACACCATCACGCTAGTAACCCTGAGGCCTCTGGTTCGAATCATATAGCGACTTGAATATTGATTTTACCTTCAACTATCACTCAGTACCACTAATACGAATCTAATACGGCTATCGCAGATAGTCGAACTGATAATCTATACCGCACTAATTACTCATGTTATTCTGAAGGTCACTTCAAGGTTGCTCCTGAAAAGGTTACTTCTTCAGAAGATACAAAACTCTAATTGGTTGCTGAAGTAGTTGTTAGCGTGAATTTTAGAGTCAGTCATAAGATAGCACATAATCAAAGTAATCTTTGTTGATCCAGGCTGATGGTATAGTTCACTTGACTGAATTCAGGTCAAATGTTAACAAGGGACTTCCAAGAAAGTATGGTAACCCTTTTCTTGTGTTTAAACATATTTCATTATTCAGTAAAGGTCACTGTAGAACTAATAGGTCTAAATGCTTATCCAAAGCAAACTGTTTCAACTACTTAATGAACTTAGAACTGATTGTGGTGTCTTGAATTACATTCAAAAGTTCAGTAGCCAAAATAACTTTAACCAGCATAGAGACATAGAAGCATGTGTTTAGAACTTCAGTGAGTTTTCTCAAAACGACTATCACTATTTTTTTCTTCAGATTTTAGTCATTAGTCAGATTTGATGATTCATTAATATGCTTTCATTGCGTTGGTTACCTCGATCTACAGTTGATATGATACGAAGTTTGTCAGTTGTTTAGCTGAATGTTTCATTTTGTGTTTTACCACGCAAAAGAGTTGTATCTATGTGTCCCTGTGTAATGACCAGTTAGCGTTCGGCTTTTACCATTATTATTGATTATTACTTGTCCCTTGGGTTCTTAATGGGACATGGGGCTTCAGTTGCACGTCTCCAATGCGCTCTGTTCCCTGAAATCTTTTGAACCTGGCTGCACAACTCCCCACAACCTCTCATTTCTTCCTCACACCATCTCCTCCATGTCACCATCACCTAGCACGCCAAATTAGTCGTTTCCCATCTGGATTCCACTTGAAGGACTGGCCTGGTGCATGATGTCCCTAATCGGCCTTCTCAGTGTATGCCACATACAATCCTTCTCCACTTCCTCCTACTGCATATTTGTTGGGTGATAGGTTCTTGATTGGTTCGTTGCCAGTCACAGTTCCTTGTTGCTTATTCTTATCATTCTGACCATCTGAAATTCAGTGTCGATCTAGCATAGGCAGTTGTTGATGAGTGTCTGTAGTTTGTTGGAAATGCCTTTCGTGACGCGACAAGTCTCTCAACCATCACATAGAAGCACTGACTTACTTGACGTTGGTGTTGGAAATCTGGATGTTGTTCATGCTTTATGCTGAGTGCAGAAGATCTACACACTGGTTTCAGGCTAATGAACGTCTCTCTTACTTTTCCGATCCTGAATTTGACGTCCTCGTCTGTACGTGTGCTGCTTGTAGTTGAGAGAGTGCTGCCTACATGGTAGGTGGAAGAGACTACTTCCTTTCTTCCGTTTCTCCCATTGATGGTGATTGCAGTTTGTTGTTGTAGATGAGGCGGTATCTTCATCACCTCTGTCTTCTCTACGTTCATTTGAAGTTCCATCTTCGCTGCCCTACCTCTTGTGTCAACTTGTTAGATTTCGCCTGTAGATCTTCGAGTTTGTGCCACAAGACATTAGACACAAGTCATCGTCGGCGAAATCCAAGTCTTCTAGGTGCTTTTCACCAGTTCATCCAGCGTATCACCCTCTTCTCACAGCTCCTCATGGTTGTCTGCTGCATGATCCAGTCGACCACAATCAGGAATATCATGGTTGATAGTAGACAGCCTTTTCTTACTCCTGTCTTCACTTCGAAAGCATCACTGAGCTTCCCATTGTGAATTACTTGGCATGTGGTGTCATCATATAGTTGTTGAATGAAGCGGATAAAGGTTTGTGGTATTCCGTAGTGTTGAAGCAGCTGACTGCCAAATTACTTCTCGGTCGACGCTGTCAAAGGCCTTCTCAAAGTCAATGGAGTTGTATGATGATGCGTGGTGTGGCGTTGCAATTTGGTCCGCACATGATTTGTACTTCCTGAAGCCTGCCTGTTGCTGCCATTTGGCTTTTAAATAATGGAATTGTATTCTGTTTATATATTAGTTATATTAGGTTATCATAAAATTGAAGTAATTCAAGTTGAGGTGTTCTCTGGACTTGGATTTTGATTGGAAAACTTTTCAATTTCATCCTAGAATTTTGATTGGTGCGTCAGTATTGAAGGCAAAATCTTAGCGTATCACCTTGAACATACGCCCACATATTCGTCAATTAGCCAATCAAGTTGGACTCAAGTAAATAAAGCATGTTTTAATGTATATATACAAATGAATTAATTCACTTTCTTATGAAGTATACTGATCACTTTGTTTAGTAGAATAATAAAACGTTTGCCAACTGAAATTCGGGCTCAATGAAAAACTCAGTTTGAACTTCCAATCCTGACTTCTGAGTTACAAATATTCTCCACCATTTCAAAAATTGGATTAGAAGACACCTGGATTGTTTACTTTTTAAAAAGAATATTTTTCATTACTTCCAGAGTAATCAGTTCATAATTGTAAGCTTTGTACCATTAGGCATTCCGTTCAATAACTCAGTGACAATGATCAATTAAATATGATCGGTGCTTATTATTTACAGTTGAATTAAACCGAGAACTGAACTCTTTCAGTAATTAATATGTGTTCGTGCACTAGATAATGGGTTACATCTATGATATGATGGTTAGTGACACTATCTAGCTGTCAAAATCCAAGTAAGTGGAGTGGAGTTCGAACCAGCGACTCATTGGCCAAATATCAACTACACAAACGCACACCAAAGAGCTACTAATCCGTATCACCAAATGTAGTTAAGGTGGTGGAGTGATCATGAACAAGCATGCCAGTTTATTGACTTCAAAGCAACTATAACATCAACGTGTTTCATTCTACAGTTACAGTAACCTGAAATTTCCCAAGTGTATCTAATATGGAGCAAAATCTACAGAATGGTCTACTGACTCACCTAACCATAGGAATATACTTCGTACTGCATCGGGAACCTCTAGATCATTTCCAGTTATCACTTTGATGATTGGAGCAACCAACTAGAGTTGAAAAGAAAAACAGAAAAACAGGATTTGGATATCATTCTGAAAAGCAAGAGAATTGGATTAACTACGATTACTATAGGTTACCAAACTGATGTGCATACTTAATATTAAGATACTCAATGTCTTGGATTACACTATAAGTTACAATCAAGGAAATTACAAAGTAAGGAATAACAATATAGTACTGAGGCATCCGCATCAAAGCACACATGGTAACAGATATCGGTCAAGCGAATCCGGTATAACAACGAGGATTTACAAGTATCTTGAAATAGTTATGCTTTATTTGAATGAATGAAGTCAAAACGAGACAACATAGCGAGGTGAGCTCAATGTCTGAAAGTTCTCGCGAAAAAAAGAATACTGTATAATTTAGACCCTAGAAGATTTGGAATTCGCCAATGAGGATTAATATCTGTCTAATGTCTTATTTCACACAAACTCGAAGATATACACGCCTAAACCAACAAGTTAACAGAAAACACCAGGCAATCAACACCTGACCTCCTTCATGTCAACGAAGACAAGACACAGATGATGAAGATACCAATCAAACCAACCAACAATAACAAGCAACAACCACCATCAATGGGGGAAATGTGGAGCAAGTTGTCTCTTTCATCTACCTAGGCAAAGCAACATCGTTTCAAATACAGGCGACAACACAGATGACGATGTCAAAGACAGCATCGGAAAGATTGCAAGACTGGCCTTGATTAACCTGAAATCAGTGTGACGATCTACTGCACTCCACTCAACTCAGCACAATGTGTCAACAACATCCAGACTCTCAACACTCATTCAGTCAAGTAAATCAGTGCTTCCATGTGATGGTTGACAGAGTTGGTGTGTCATGAAAAGCATTTCCAACAAACTACACACATTCATCACATGAGCAGGTAACACCGATGCTGACTGGATAGTGACAGTGAAGATGAGATGAATGTTGAGAATAATACGAATGGGCGAGGAAGGAGGAACTCTGGCTGGCTGGCTGTCTGGCTGGCTGTTTGGCTGGCTGTCTGGCTGTCTGGCTGGCTGTCTGGCTGGCTGTCTGGCTGGCTGGCTGGCTGGCTGGCTGACTGGCTGACTGGCTGGCTGGCTGGCTGGCTGGCTGGCTGGCTGGCTGGCTGGCTGGCTGGCTGGCTGGCTGGCTGGCTGGCTGGCTGGCTGGCTGGCTGGCTGGCTGGCTGGCTGGCTGGCTGGCTGGCTGGCTGGCTGGCTGGCTGGCTGGCTGGCTGGCTGGCTGGCTGGCTGGCTGGCTGGCTGGCAATGAACGAACGAACGAGTCAAGAATCCATCGTCCAACAAATATGTAGAAGGAAGTGTAGATGGATTGTATGGGGTGAGAGGATGGTTTGTGGAGATCACGCACCAGGCGAGGCGAGGCGATGCCATGTCATGCCATGGTAGACCAGGTAGTCGAGTAGAATCCGTATGGGAGAGAGAGGGGTTTTGCGTGTTAGTGTGACACGGAGGAGATGTTGTGAGGGAGATATGTAAGTTTTTGGGGAGGTGTGGATGCAGTTTCATGAGAGTGCAGAGAGTAGAGTGAAATGTTGATGTGCTAGTGAAGCCTTATTTTCCGCTAGGAACCTGAAGTACCCGAAGCTAGAGTTCCTTGTTCCTCACCCATTCGTATTATTCTCAACATTCATCTCATCTTCACTGTCACTATCCAGTCAGCATCGGTGTTACCTGCTCATGTGATGAATGTGTGTAGTTTGTTGGAAATGCTTTTCATGACACACCAACTCTGTCAACCATCACATGGAAGCACTGATTTACTTGACTGAATGAGTGTTGAGAGTCTGGATGTTGTTGACACATTGTGCTGAGTTGAGTGGAGTGCAGTCTCTCCGATGCTGTCTTTGACATGGTCATCTGTGTTGTCGCCTGTATTTGAAACGATGTTGCTTTGCCTAGGTAGATGAAAGAGACAACTTGCTCCACATTTCCCCCATTGATGGTGGTTGTTGCTTGTTATTGTTGGTTGGTTTGTTTGTTATCTTCATCATCTGTGTCTTGTCTTCGTTGACATGAAGGAGGTCAGGTGTTGATTGCCTGGTGTTTTCTGTTAACTTGTTGGTTTAGGCGTGTATATCTTCGAGTTTATGCGACATAAGACATTACACATAAATCGTTATCTGTGATAGCCAAATCTTCTTCTGGTTTCTTTTCATCGGTCGAGCCACTTTATCCCCTTCTTCTCGCTCCTCACAGTTTGTTGCATAATCCAGTCCAGTCCGCCACAAGACAATCAGGATGATTGTCGGCCATAGTAGGTCGCAAACTTGTCCTACCCCGCCCTGTCTTCAATTCAAAGACATTACTGAGCTTTCCATTTTCAACCACTTAACATGCGGTGTCGCTATATCGGTGCTGTTGAATGAGGTTGATAAAGGCATGTGGCACTAAAGAACCGTAGTGTTGAAGCAGCTGCCAAATTACTTCTCGGTCGACAATATCAAAGGCTTCTCATGAGCTTGCTCCGTCTTGTTCTTTCGTCCCTATCTGAAATGATCAGAGCTCGAGAAGCATACTGCCTCAAGGACTGCCGATCCAAATAATTGTGAGGTTTCTATTTTAGTTTCATTGTTTGGTTTTAAGTTGGTATTCATCACGGACTAACATCGTTTGAAGGAATATTCATAATCTAGGAGCACTAGACAGCCATTTCGTTCTAGTATAGGAATACTCAGTAGTGCGCAATTATGACCTCATCCCACCAGGGATCGAACCAAGGACCTCCATGTTTCGTGGCCAGCGTGTTACTTTTAAGCCACTGGGTGGGAATCTAACGGAATTCAATCCATACCACGATCATCAACCAAAATCAATGTTGAGTATTTGTCCTCACGGCCCCCTTGTTCGTCTTAGCGGTCACAACTTCTCATTGGAACTTGAGTAATCACTCCTGGAAGATAGTCACTACTGACCACGAGACTTTCCAGTGGCATAATAGACGTCACTGTCAGTGCATTAGAGCTTCACAGGGAAACTCCAACTACCGACTGTCATCCATCCATCCAGATTAACGCAGGACTAGGTATTACTGCGTAACGGTCCGAGTTGCCACACCTCATCTCATATCAGTACATCAAGTAACAAAGGCAGTGAGGTGCAAGATGAAGAAAAGAGAATGCAGCCAAAAGAAATATAAAGTAAGAGAAGAAAGAAAGGAAGAATAACAAAATGGTGAGATTCGGTATAGCGTCGTTAAGATGAGGATAATGTATGTATACATCTGCACCACTGACATCGATTCTGAGCCGTATCGCTTAGAGTCAGTCTCCAACCACTAGTTTCTCTTGTCCCGCGGATCCCGACCACCTAGTCTGCATCACCCCACTTGGCTCAAACCAACAGTCAGAGACTTTGTGCTTTGATGCCATGTTTCAATCTGGCCACCTCGGGCCCTTTTCCAGTCTGGACCTACTTAGGCTAACATAGTGTGACGAGGCAATCGGTGACTAGGTATACGTAACACGTGTCCCAAACTACTAACTACAATTCTGCTAACATCTGAAGAGAGAATTCATGGGTTCGCATTGCTGAGGAGTCCCATACCAGAACTAAACTGCTGTCCAATGTTCTCATATTTCCAGTATCCCTCCAATTCTTGTCACTTCATTATGAACACCAACTTGAGATCGATAAATCCCCACAAACCCTAAAATGATTCTTAGGTAAATCATAGTAAATCAACGACTGATTGGATAACATTCTCCCGCAAACAGCTGTAGAAAAGTAATTTCAGATTACAGTAGAACTGTAGTCAATGGTTGAAGATTTCCTGTGAAGCTCTAATGCACTGACAATGATATCTAGTATGACACTGGAATCTCTACCAAGTAAAACATAAGCCCATAAAACAAATCACAATGAACATTGTCCATTCAACTTATTGACTTGAAGCTTTGATGGACTGTTGTCCAATCAGCTCGGTGGTAAACTTACTACTTTCAGAAATGAATGATACTCTGATAAAATGAGACTATCTATCGAATGACTTTCAAAATCCACAGTCAAATACAATCCCCTCTAGTGTCCTCTTCTTTATCTTTGTCTCTGAATTCCACATTTGTTCTATAGATATCAAGCAAACTTAAGAATTGAAATAATGGAGAATGTTTGTAGCTCAGGTGGATGGTCCTGGTTGTATTGAGTTCTCTGAACTGGGTTGTTTAATCTTGAAGCCTTCAGCGTCTTTCTTCTAGACGACATCATCAACACTAACTTCAGTATGAAGTGAGCTGTCAATATCTCTCTATCAGTGAATGATTTAGTGGTTTTCTCTGACGATATGGTCTGTGTTTGGTTGTTTCCTTCGAAGGAAATACTGATTTTAATCCTGTTGATGATGTCGTCTAGAAGAAAGACGATGAAAGCTTCACGATTAAACAACCCAACTCAGAGAACACAATACAAACAAAACCTAAGAATTATTCAGGTGCAACGTTGACCATAAAATGACCAATTTATATAGATCGAAAATACTGTGAAATATCGTGTCCTTAATCTTACAATTTTCGATTATAAAATTAGTTTTAGATACACAACTATGTCAACAATAAAAGGTAAAAACAAGTCCTTATCAGCTGTAAAGTATATTTACGTGGGAATAGAAAATCCCATTGAAGTTTCTTTTGGCTTAGCACACACAGTCGTCACTTACACACACAAATGAAGACATCCCACCACATTTGGTTACAGCAGTCTGTTTCACGCTTCTTCCATCCCCTAAATTGATTGGCATAAAACGGAATAGAATGAAACATGAAAAATGGTGGTAAGAAAAGTAGAAGACAATTGAATCAAAGATATTTTTCTACAACGATCAGGCGATTAGATAGATAGATAGATAGATAGATAGATAGATAGATAGATAGATAGATAGATAGATAGATAGATAGATAGATAGATAGATAGATAGATAGATAGATAGATAGATAGATAGATAGATAGATAGATAGATAGATAGATAGATAGAT